ACCCTGCTGGCACCAGCCTGCCAGGGCCTCCAACAGGAAGGGGCCTTTCCAAACCCATGGCCATCACCCTTGCTGATTGGAACGCTCCTCTTGATGGACTGGCCATGGCTGGGTCTGCCTTCCCATTAATGGCCCCTCTTCACAGATGCCCGCGCTGACCATGCTCCTCCACGTTCCTTCTCTGTCCCCATAGTGGCTTCTGGGCTTTCTCCACTGCATTCACCTGCCCGAATTTGTCAGGGTTCCTTGGCTGGTGTAGACGTTTATTGTCTCTCTCCTACTCTGGACTCTAGTCATTGGAACGGCAGGGAGCAGATCCACGTTGCTTATCTTTGCAAACCCAGTGGCAGGTACCTAGTTGCTGTCAGGTGTTCTCAAGTCAATTCTGAAGTCTGGCTACCCCAGGTGGCCTGAAAACGTGCCCACAGGGTTCTCCTGGCTGTCAGGTTCATGGATAGGGACCACCCAGTCTTGCCCCTGTGAAACCTGGCGGGGGGTGGGGCTGGGGGTGGGGGTGGGGTTCACACAGCCAGCTTTCTGGATGCCTGTTATGCTACCAGGAGTGCTTGAGCACTCCAAGGTTTCACTGTGTTTTCACGGGAGTCTCCAGAGCAGGTTAGTTTCAAATTGAGAATGACCAAGCCTGTTGTTGAGAGGAGTGTTCACACTTCACACCCGTCTCGACATTCTTCATTCAGTCTCTTCTGGATATTTTGTTTCCAATACTCTGGTTTCCCTGTTCCCTTCCCCTTTGCTTTAAATGTGTGCAGTACTCTTTGATAATAGGCTTTATTTATTTATAGTTAATCTGTGTTTTTATTTTAGCTAAAAGGAGCCCTGGGTGGGGAGGCAGATTTGGTTCACAGATTAAAGAACACTTTAAGGGAATAGCCTTGGGGTGTCCTTTAGTCTCAACCGGTTCGGTGAGTCTGGGCATTTTAAGAATTTGGTTTCGGTTCCACGGTGTTCTCCCTTCTGTGAAGATCCATCTATTGTGGCCCTGATCAGGATGGTCGCTCTGGTAGCGGGCATCATCTACTTCTGGATTGAGGGGAGATGAGGCCAAGGGTCGAGTGAGACTGGAAGTCCCATCCACTAGTTTCATCTCTGGATCTTTGGTAGGGTGGTTTGATTCTCGGTCAATATTTAATTGAATCAGAGTTATTTAGTACTGGAGCTCCGACCTGTGTGCCCCTTTGAACAATATTTAAAGATTCTTAAGTGAAGGCGGAGTAGACATGGATGGAATATCTCCCAGACATGAGATGAGGTAGTTTGAGTCTGCAGACATGCCAGATTGCTTTGGGCAGTGCAGTCCCAGGTCCTTTCCTGCCTATGATCTGAGTGGGTTTGTTTCAATTGTGGAATAACTTGCATGCAGTATATTGCACAATATTGGAATGGTTTAACAGGTGCACACTTACAGACAGATGTAGAATGGTTCCAACAACCCAGAACGCTCTGCGTCCCTTCTCAGTTGATTTCCCCCAAATAGCAACCACATTATAATTTCTATCACAATAGGTCCACTTTGATGGTTTCTGGACTTCACAGCCATACCTATGTATGCTTATAGGTCTTCCTTTTTGAGTCCCTCGTATTTCGGGGTGCTTTGAGACCCATTCACGTTGTAATGTGTAGCAATCATCTTTTCCATTGCCTTCTAATAGCCTTTGAGTAAACCGAGTTTTCCCTTCCACCGCTGAAGAACATTTGGGGCCTTGGTCATTATAAGCAACATTGTCAGGTACATTCTCGTGCACGCAGTTTCGTAGATGTGGACACTCTGTGTGTCTTGGGGTGGAATTGCTCCTGAATGGGCATGTGCTTAGCTTTAGTGGATATTACTGAACCGCGTTCTAAGGTGGTTGTACCAGTTTACACTCAGTTCAACAGGGTGAGAGAGCAATTAATATTCCCTCAGACTTGATTTTACCCATTTGATGGATATGAGACATCTCTCTTGGAAGTTTTGCCTTTATTTTATGACAAACAGTGTCGAGCACTTTTAAAATTTGAATACCTTCACGTAGCATGTAATAATTGCCTCCATATTAAGTGCTTGTTTTACTTTTTCCCATTTAATAAAACTATGCCTTTATTGACTTGTGTTCACTTTACATTTTGGATATGAGCCACTAGGCAACTATGTGAATGGAGTCTTTGGGTGGTGCAAATGGCCAGTACCTAAGGTTTCAACCACAAGGTGAGAGTCCATGCAGAGGCACCCTGGAAGGTCTTGCCTTCTGAAAAGCCAACCATTGAAAATCCCCATGGTGGGTCCCCTGACAGACATGGGCTGCTCTACGTGGGAGCCGAGGACAGCTTCTTGGTGACAGCTGTGTGAACTGTTTTTATCTGAGGCTTGTCTTGTCATGCTCAGAATGGTGCCGTGTAATGGACAGAGGGTTCTGATTTTTGAAGAAATCCAACCCATACATCTTTTGTTTTGGGTGAATTTTGTGTTCTCTTTAGAAAATCTTTGCAGACCAAGATCTCTTAGTGTTTTCAACCAAAGGATAGAGCAGGGAGACATTAAAAGTGGGTGGGGAAAAAAAAAGGTGGGTCTTCATTGAGTTGAAATGGCTTTCAAGTACCTAGTGCTTGAAGCGTGGGCCAGATAAGAGAGAGAGAGTTCTCTCAGCTCCCTTATCCGAGCCCAACCCATCCTTCCAGGCCTTGAGAACATTTGTTTCCTGCTCAGGTGCTGCCATGTAGCCCCCTAAGAGATTCTCCCCATACAATGGTAACATTTTAGAAAGAGGACAGGTTAAAAAAATAATACTAAAAGAGAACTGTTAGGTTGAACTGCGGTCCCCTCCAAAACTACCGAATTCAGGACAACACAGAAATCACACCACATGGACAAAGAGTCATTCACCAGGTATATTTGAAGGCTAAGCTCTGTGAGCTGCACACGTGCACAAATGATTCAGTGGGTGGAAACCTCTGCCCCCCTTCCATTCTCAAACAGTGCAAATGGAAACCAGGGCCCAAGAGGGTGGCGTAGGTGCATCACAGAGAACGCAGAGGCAGTCCCGACTGTCACAGTGCTACGAGTTGTCCCTGAAAACACCCCAAGGAGCCTCCGGGTGTCCCTCTCCTGGCCCAAGCGCCCCTTCGGACCTTCCTCAAACCCAAGAATGACTTCTCTGAGACAGGTTCACACTGTTGCTTGGCGATAAACTTCACTAAGACTAAGCCCTGACTTCACTTGATGACTACTCAGGATGCCAGGGTCACGGGTACTAAACTTGGTTGCCAATGTCGAAGATGTGTGGGTGGTTTCTTTTTTTAATTAAAAATAATTTCCACACGTGTTCTCCCCATCCAGCTTTCTTTAGAACCCGTGGTGCTGAAAATTCTGGGCAAGCTGTCAAGTCAAATGACCTGCAGAGGGGCAGAGGGGCAAAACCACCCAGCAGACAGCGGTCAGAGGTCTCTGCTCATCTGAATAGTGGAGGGCAGCGTTTCCTCCGCTAGAGGGCACCGTCCCACCACTACTGTCTTCAGCCTTTCATTGTTCCAGGGACCACAATGTCCACAACAAAGGCCAGTCACCGCAGTGGCTTATTACACCTGCCTCAGAGTTTGAAGGTGCTTACATACACGCACTGGCCATGTTCTCCTAAGGTACACCTGTACCAGGTCCACGACGGTATTGCTATATTCACAGTAGAACGGACTTTCATTTCCGTGGGATCAGTCTGTTTTGAAGTTTCAGAGGAAACTAGTGTACACCCTGGTCCAAAAGAGCCGCCACAATCCTTCAGGCAGCCGGCTGTGTTACTGTTCTCAGGTGCATCTTGGGTAATGAATGTTATTGCCCACTCCCCCACCATTCGCATTTAATCTAAATAATTCATGAACATACAGGAACAGATGAGGCGTGGCACCTAACAGCAGAAGGTAATGAATGGTTCTTACAGGTGTATCTTTTGTAATGCACTTTGGGCTAGAGACATAGAAAAATCACATGTAACAAAAACAAGTGGCTATCTTGAGCAGGTGAGCATTTGAATGAGTAGGCTTGGCATCCACATACTGATTCTTCCCCAGGTTAATATGCCAAGCAGCATCAGGGAGATTTAGCTTCAGCCAAAAAGGTCATCCACCAACACCCATCTGTTCACGTTATTTAGAAACCAAAGGCTCTGGGCAGCAAAGATGCTGGCTGATCGTTTATATAATGGCGTGAAATATCGTGTGCCCTTTCGAAAGTCAGCATTATCTACAATAGGTGTAATAGTATCTGATTAGCTGAACTGGTATAAGAATGCATTCATAAGCAATGCACATATTGTGTGCTGAAGCAGCTAAGGGCTGAACAGTCACGAAATAAAAAACATCCAGATTTAAAAACAAAACCCAAAAAATTGGAAAAAAAAAAAAAAGGGGGGGGGGGACCAAAAACAATCATTCAGACACCGTGAAACTTTTGTAATAAATAGTTTGTCTGACGTCATCAGACTGTACGACCCTGGACAAGCCTCCCTCTTGGGGCTGGGGACAATTCTGTCTGGAAGTGATGTTAAAAATCTAATAAGGAACATCTCTGGGGCCAAGCGCGGGTTTGCTTCCAGGAATTGTAACAGGCTATGAAGTATTGACTCCGAATAGTAAATACACCCAGACTGGTGGAGCTGGACGTGGCTGATACTTTTTCCTAAACTAGAGAAGACGTGGCTGGATGCTGACACACGCGTGAGTTCTAGTGTATTCTCAAATCATGAACATCAATGCTGGTGATCATGCAGGTCCTGGGAATGTCGGGATGCAGAAGACTGAGTGAGACCAGATAGGGATATCTCATGCAGTCAAAGTCAAGTTTACGTATGGTCCTATGGAAGTGGCCAGGAAAAAAAAAAAACCAAGACAAAGAACAATGCACACGTCTTTGGACTGGGGCCAAGACACCTCACAAACACAGGCGCTAGGTGTCCCTCATGTTGCTGGCTTGGATCAACATGAGAGAATGTAGATACTGGTGGTTCGGATGGTTTGATAAGAAAATGTTTTGTTTAGTTTTTTTAATCCTCTAGAACCTTCCAGAGAATGAATGACACGTGATGGAGCAGGATATGATCAGGAAACAGGTCACCTTTCCCTAGCCCTTTTGTCCGATAGGCTTGATTACAATCGCAAACAACCAAACACCCCGGGATTTAAAGGCGTTTTTTTCCCACAAACAAACAATGGGGCAGGTGGGGAGCATGACAAAGGGGAGATGGAGCTTAATCATCCTCAAGGTGGCGCCTGTGCTCAGTTGGACACAGGGGGCGGCAGGCCGGGACGCCGGGTCTGGATAATTTTTGGCTTTGGAGAAGTCTTTGGATCCTCATCTTCCTCTATGTCGCTGTCACATACGTGCACGACCACACTGGGGGTGGACTCAGTCCCTGCATGGAGCTCATACTTCTCTCCTGAAAAGCAAGGGAAATGGGCGTTAAAATGGGCGGCATTGCAAGATGGAAGCTTGGGCCAAGTTTGCAGTGAGAACATTTCCCTAGCATCTCAGAACCTCCAAGGTCTTATCCAGGGATGGCATGGGCTATCAGACAGTGGAATGAGAGCTAACTGTCACCACTTATCAACGGGGCAACCCTCAACAAGTCATTGACCCTCTTAGCATCCTCCACCACAAACTGCTTTCCTGCGTGGAGATGATTAAATGGGCCTGGGGGTTCTGAAGGAGGCCTGATGACACTGTGGGTTGAGCACTGGGTTGCTAGTTGTTGGGTCGACAGTTCAACCACACCAGCTGCTTATGGGAGGGCTATGAGGCTTGCTGCTCCCACAAAGAGCATCTCAAACTCCAGGGAGCTGTCCTACAGGGTGGCTATGAGTTGGAATTGACTATGTGGGCTTGGGGATGGAGGCAGTTATTAGTTTCTATTCTATTTCCTACTATTGCGGCTATTTATCTAAATAACTGCACCAACCATTCATTTCATGTCCTCATCTTTTGGGGAAGATAGTCTCTAAGGTTCTCTGTAGCTATACATTTCTTACAACAAGGGCTGTCCCAAGGAGAGATCATCCCTTGTCAACAATTCACAGTGGCTACTGCAGAACTGGGTTGGATGATGGCCAAAGTCCCTTCAGTCCTGAGAGTCTATCATTCATGACTGGCTAATTTTACAGTCAAACTGCTATTAGCTAATTGGCGTCTTGTCTGTCGGTTTCATTGCATTAGTTATTTATTGACCCCCTCTCACAGTCTGGTCCATTGCAAAGAATAAGGGATACAAAGCATAATAAAAATAGGTGTGACCTTCAATAGATAACCCTTCAGAGAGAGTAACAGGAGTAATGGTTCCCTGGGGGTACAGGAAGAGATAGGGGGAAAAGGGGAACTGATAGCATTGATGAGTACATAACCCCACTTGATGGGACTGGACTGGACAACAGAATTGTATGTGAATGGATATATTAGATCATGTAACTTATGGCAAAAACCAACAACAACAACAACAAACTTATTATAGGAAGAAAAAAAGGGTTCCCAGTGGGGGTGTAAAGTGGAGTTGATCTCAAGGAGTTCAAGAAGAGAGAAAACGTTTTGAAACTGATTGTGGTAGCACTTGTACAATACCACTTGATGTGATTGAACTATGGAATGTTATGATAGCTGTAAGAGGTCCCAATAAGATGATTAATTTAAAAAGGGTGTGCCTTTCACAGGAGCAGAGCTCATGGGAAGCTTATGAAAACAACACATTATACCATGGTGAGCACTAGCATGGTCCATATGGCCAGGACTGTGGCATCAAATTACCAAGTGCAAGTCACTCCAGAAGGCTGCTCAGAGTTTGGGATCGCTGAACTGGGTCTATAAGACAGATAGGAGACTTCTCGGTGGTGGAGCAGGAGGAGGGGGGTTGTCACTCCTCGTGCTTTAGGGACTAATGGAAAAAGATCATTGAAAAACATCTCCATCTTCCTTTTCAGTAGCTCTCCAGGTCTTAATAGATCCAAACCCAGCATTTTTAGACCAGTAGAGATGTGGCTGCATAATGCTGCACCCAGAATCTTCAACATCAAATCCAATGATTTCTTATTTGCTTTAAAACTGTTTGAGTTAGTTAAAGTTTATAGGGCCAATCTGGCCGATAAACACAAATGGGGTTAATTGAAGGGCAGAGAGATAAATGGCTCGGTGAACCTTGCCTTTCTAGTTCTCGGGTCTCTTGCTTTGTGATGGTTGGGCCAGGGTGCAGCTGCCTTAGCCAGTTCCTTGCTTCAGCTGGCAAGGCTCACTTCCTGCAAGTCATTCTGAGGAGAAGCCACATGGACCTACCCCGATGCAGCCCTGGGTGCTGGAGCAGCTGTCTGGAGACCACTGCCAGTGCTGAGATGCTTACACACTCACTGACTCGGCTTTCCTCCTACAGTTGGCATCATAGTGTGTGTTTTGTGAGATGGAGGAGGACTTTGTGGATTGTTGTCAGACATATGGGTTAATGGGTTAATTTTGGCCTTGTGGGCTTGGGCAGCACTGGGTTGGGATGTTTTCTTGATGTGCATTTAACCTTTATATAAAACTCTCTCTTATACATGAGTTTCTGTGGATTTGTTTCTCTAATGTACCCAGACTGACACACTGTTTGTCTCATTAGTTCTAGTCATGACAGCTATGTTTATCCCCACCAAACCAGCTCCTTTCATGTGGCATCATCTCAGATCTAGCTTTGCATTCCCGAAACCCTTTCCAGGTCTTCTTTTACCATAAAGGCCAAATAGCACCAAATCCTGAAATCTTGTGTGCCGTTGTTGGTCTTTAGTGGGATGTGCTTGTTCTGCATCCCTATGCACTTATTCTTAGGTGCAGTGATTGTATGCTTGGGTGCTGCTGTGTGTGGCTTGGCAAACAGCAAAGGCGAAACAAGCACAATCTTATAAGGCACTGCTTTCATTTCCAGGTGCGGATATTCAAGAAAAGGAGGCACTAATAATTTAACAAACATCAATGCTTTTCCAAGTGTTGCTGGGAGAGAATGAACTTGCGGATGTGCACATCCCTTACATGTTCTGGGAACTAGCCACTAGCCACTTCCTCTGTGTGAGGAAGATGAGATTTTCCACTGCCATGGAAAACTCCATTCTTGGAAGCCTAAAGGGGAACTTCTACCTGTCCGAGGGGGTCTCTGGGAGTCAGAATTGATTGCACAACCGTAAGTTGAGTTTCATGGTCTACCTCTGGGCTTCACTGAAAAGCTGTTATCTACTTTTAGTGCACAGTGTTATCCGACGAAGGTCTGTAAAACGGTGTGACTTGGAAGAAATAGGCTTCATGCCCTAATCTCCCAGCACCAGTAAACCCTGGGGACCTAGGGGACCTAGGTCCCATTTTTCCCCCCATTTCGCTCAAAATGCCTTCCATGGATTCAACAACAAAAAAATTCAAAGCAAAAAAAGGATCCAGTCTTAACGGGGCAGCCATTCAGAGTAAGCCAATGGGATTCTCTTCCTGTTATGATTGGCAAAAATGCTTCCTTCAAACTCTGGACATCCGACTTTGTAGAGCACTGCTTCCCAAAGTGGTAAATACTGCCCCCTGGGGGTGGGGGTGAAGTGAATTGGGCAGGCAGCACTGCAACAGCAGATACCCAGGCTTTATCATGCACTTGGGGCTAGAGTACAAAAGATTTTGATTGTTGGAATGTTGAGTGATTTTCATTTTTCCTGAGAAGGAGGTGGTAGGCTAACTAAGTTTGGGAGCCTATGGTATATCAGAGGGGTGGGGATCATCTGCCATGCAAGCCACATACAGCCTCGGAAATCCTCAGTACCAGGTAACGTTACATACCCTACCCCACCAGGAGAAGCAGTTGCAACCATCCAGCAGGGGTGAGCTAATGAAGCATCTGACCAATATGGATTGAGAACAAGAACATATGTTATAAATATCCAAACAGCACTTGGCCGAGACAAGGTACACACACAAACACACACACACACACACACACACACACACACACACACACGCGCGCCCTACCCCTTCCCCACCTGGTGCAGAGTAAAGGGCTTCCCAGGTGAGCACAGCAAACCTTTCACAAACCTGGAGATAGTTTCCCCTCCAGCATTTCCCTGGGTAGGTACAGCAGCAAGGAGGGGGAGAGCTGATCAGAGACATCTATGAAGAAGACTAGCGTTGTAAAGTCTAGGCTTGGTGAAACTGGAAGCTGGGGAATTGTGTCAATGGCTATTAAATCTCTGATGCAACAGAATTGATGTGGAGGAGGAGTTTGGGTTCCGACAAGAGTGACCAAAGCAGGCCACGTGGGCTGGAACCAGGAAGCGGACTCTTGCTGCTGTCCCTCAGGCTAAGGAAGTTCACTCTCCAGCCTCCACAAATAGGATTGGACAGCGCATATTTAACCACACTGTGGTCTGCTCTGAAGTTATACCACACCTGTCTGTCAGCAGGATGTAGTCACTGATGCTAAATAAAATTCATTTCATTGTGTGGGCTCAGTTTTCCTTCAAGTATCTTGTCTTTTCTTCTTCTTCTTCTTCTTCTTCTCCTCATCTTCCTCTCTTCTTCTTCTTCCTCCTCCTCCTCCTCTCCTCCTCCTCCTTCTCCTCCTTCTTTTCCTTCTCCTTCTTCTTCTTCCAAACTTTAAGGTTAAGGAGCCACTTCAGGATGCCAATGATACTGGCCCTCTCTGACAGGGCCAGGAATGGACAGAGCTGGTTGGTGGCCTCTCTGAGCTGTGCTTCTCCAGCATCTGTGTATTCAACAATTTGCAGCAGAGGCTTATTAAAATCAGAATTTATCAGCATAGGAAGTAACCCTGCACATGCTGAATGAGTAGACTCTACATGTTGACCCAGCATCCCACTGATGATTCTTTGTGTCTCCTGGTGCAGGTGGCCACTGTTACACTGCTTTGTGTGATAGGCAGGAGGCTATAGATTCCACAAGGGAAATAGCAAAGATAAAACATAGCCCACCCTCTGCTCCACTCAGTATCCTAATTTTGCATTGGAAAAATGGCAGTCACAGGTTGTGGATAACGAAGGTTAGGGAGAGAGACTGAGGTCATCCAATAGGAAAGGGGTCATGAGATCCTGGATCAGATCCCTGGCCACGCCCAGCCAGCCACATTAATTAATCTTGAGCATTCTCATCTATAGGAGCCCTGATGGCACAGTGGTTACAAATTGGGCCGTGATCCACAAGGTCAGCAGTTCAAAACCACCAGCCAGCTTACAGGGAGAAAGATGGAGCCTTTTCTACTCCTACAAATAATTAGTCTCATGCCATCCCTTGATGGCCCCAGGCTCTAGGGGAGACAACACTGGAGACTCACTGTCAGGACTGGCCCAGACTGACCCTGAGACACCGAGGCAAACCACAAAAAGCATGCGGCAAAGCAACCATGGGAGCAGATCAGAAAGCTCCCAAGGGCATACAAAG